AGAAACAGGCTCCAGGCTCTGAGCCATCAGCCCAGAGCCCGACGCGGGGCTCGAACTCACGGACCGCGAGATCGTGACCTGGCTGAAGTCGGACACTTAACCGACTGCGCCACCCAGGCGCCCCAAAAGTGTCTTGTTTTGGCTGTCCTTTAAGATACAAAGAAATGGAATACACCCTTAAATAACTTAATACCTTATTAAACAAAAGGAAAACAATAAAGTTTATAATTATAAACAATTAATTCCATGAATTTATGTATTGGAAAGAAATTAATTCTATGATCAACTATTTATTTATTTATTTTTAATATAATTTATTGTCAAATTGGCTTACATATAGCACCCAGTGCTCATCCCAACAAGTGCCCTCCTCAAAGCCCATCACCCATTTTCCCCTCTATGATCAACTTTTTATAGAAGTTCAGAGGAGGAAGAGATTGGGTTTGGGTCTTTACAAGAGGTTGGATTGGTTTGAAGATTTGAAAGATGTTTAAATGGGCAGAGATGGGGTGAAGGGTAAGTAACAGTGAAGCTCTGTTGCCTAGGGTACTGCTTTACATTTGAAACTGATGGTGCCAATACTTTATGCTTCAGATTCCCTTAACATTTGGGATTATGCTACAGTAAGTACTTAAGGGAAAACAATCTCATGGAAAACACCTTTGTAGACATGTCAATCTCAACTCCACAGAATTGGAGAGGGAGAATAATCTTCAGAAGAAAGTGGGGACAGCTAAAGATAGAACACTATTATTACTGCATAATGAAGTCCTACTTATATAAAGATTATATAAGAAGTTTCAAATGTAGGACCACACTTTAAAAAAATTAAAACATCAACAGAATGCAAAACTTCATCTTTGATCATAAAGTTATCATTTTCAAATTTGAGAATAAGTATTTCTCTAAAGAGAAGACACTTGTTTGCCAAGTTTTAGTCCATAGGATTGTTGGCTCAGAAGTAGAAATTAGTATAACTTGCTTTTACTCACACTTGTTCTTTTAAACTTGTGTGGTTTGTTTTTAGGTTTTTTTTTGCTTTTAGTATTTTGTTTTGTTTTGTTTTTTGTTTAGTTTTGTTTTATGTGAGTGCAAATATAGAAACCAAAAAGTAATGTGGTAAGAGATGTGAGTGCAAATATAGAAACCAAAAGTAATGTGGTAAGAGATGGAATTAGCAATGCTTTGGTTGTCTCCCTGTTGAGTTTCGTTATAATTATTTTAAGACATCTAAAATTTGGTTCAAATGAAACAGCATTTTAAACAACTGATATATCTCAGCCTTTTACCAATGTCATTGTCCTGCCTGAACTCCTATAGCCACTGAGCACAAATTTAACTCAAAGCATATGGGTAATACCAGCTTCTTTATGTTTTAAGACTCTTGCAAGTAATAACTCAATGTAATATTTGTCAATAGTGGGCAAAGTATCTCCTTCATGGGCAACTATCATTACTCATTTCTGATCCTATAGAAGTTGCCAATTACTCAATTTTTTTAAAGCACTGGTCTCATTGTTCTACCCTCAAAAAGACATGTTTTCAAGTTAGATTTATTTATTTTTCTGATGCTGTAATATTATGATTTATGAGAAACATATTTTGGTCATTTAGATACCAATATATATTTGGTCTTCCTTCATGATTCCTGGCTCACAGCTCCCAAAACCCTTGGAATTTCCTGGGCAATAAGGGCAATGGGAACATCTTTTGTTATAATATTTGGTCTCATCCTCAGTTCCTGAAATTAGTTCAGAGACATAAAGATGAAAATAGGTGTCATGTTATTGATAACAAACTCCTTTCCACCACAACTGGGTTTGTGTTAATGAGGTAACTTTTGGAAAGCAGCTTAGGATGGAAGCTGGTTGCTAGGGGAACGAACCAACAACGAGCATGGGGGTGCAAATTTCAGACCCATCCCCTGATTTCTTGGGGAGGGAGAGAGGATGGAGATTAAATCAGTCATCAATGGCCAATGATTTCATCAAGCATGCCTACATAATGAAGTCTCCATAAAATCCTAAAAGGGTTTGGAGAGTTTCTGGGTCAGTGAATGTGTGTAGATTTGGGGAGTGTGCACCTGGAGAGGACATGGAAGCTCCTCACCCTTTCTCCACACCATGTCCTATATATCTCTTCCATATGGCTACTCCTGAGTTATACCCTTTTATAATAAACCAGTGACCCAGTAACCAACATGGTTCTCTGAGTTCTGTGAGCAACTTTAGCAAATTAATCCAATCCAAGAAAGGGGTACGTTGGAACTTCTGATCTATAGCTGGTCAGTCAGAAGCCCAGATGACAACCTGGACTTGCAACTGGGATCTAAAGTGGAGGGCAGTCTAGTGAGCCTGAGACTTGAACCCGTGGAATCTGATGCTATCTCTGGGTAGACAGTGTCAGAACTGGGTTGCATTGTAGGGCACCCAGCTGCTGTCTACGAATTGCTTGGTGGTGGGGGTGCCTGGGTGGCTCAGTCAGTTAAGCGTCCAACTTTGGCTCAGGTCATGATCTCTTGGTTTGTGAGTTCGAGCCCCAGGTTGGGCTCTGTGCTGACAGCTCAGAGCCTGGAGCCTGCTTTGGATTCTGTGTCTCCCCATCTATCGGCCCCTCCCATGCTCACGCTCTCTCTCTCTCTCTCAAAAATAAATAAATGTAAAAAAAAAAAAAAGAAAAGAAAGAAAAAGAATTGCTTGGTGGTGGAAACCCACACTCACCCAATTTAAAACTGGGGTCCAGAACAACCTTTAGATGCCTTCTTTGCTTTCTTCCTTATTTCTTCCTAAGAAAGGCAGAAATGATATTTTAATCATTTTGGTCGCTGACACCTTTTGAGAGTTTGATGAGTCACAAACCCTCTCCTCAGAAAAATGTATATTAGACACAAAACTGCATGAATTTTCAGGGAATTCATGGACCTCCCTGAAGTTCACCCACATATCCAACAGGGATCTGGGGACTCTGGGTTATGAGCTCCTGCATGGTGGACCTTTGCAGGTTGGCTGGTTAGGATACTCCCTCATCAAAGAAACTGGAAATAAGAGGCAGAGGACTCAAGAACACTAGAGAGTGCCCTCAGTGTTCCTACTCCATGACCATGCAGTTTCCTTACCCATTCACTGTATCTGTTAATCTCTGAACTGGCTGAACCAGAGAGCTATGAGCTACTCAAGCTTTGGGATCCTGAATATTCACATAATTACCCATACCCTCCCTCTCGGTAAGGCAAGATAGCTGTGAAATTCATTCAACTTGTGACAGTTCTTTTAACTCCAAATTTGCTCTAGTTTGAAAATTCTACACCAGTAATTACTTCTGCAACTGCTAATGCTAATCATTGTTATTGCAGGGAGGCAGCAAAGAGAATGTCATCTATAGTTCAGCAGCAGGAATATAACCCTGGTGACCCTCCACTTTGGTTTGGCTATGATTATGAAGGCAAGCCCCTTACAAGACAACATGAGATACCACCACCTAAAAATGTAGAATGGACAGTGACAGAGTCAACACACAGTAGTCAAGAGGAAGTAGTATGACCTTCAGCCTCAAGCAAGAAGAACAAAAAAATCTAGAACTTGGTAACTTCATTTGACGCAAGTATTTTCACTAGCTGGATCTCAACAGTGTGAACAACCAGCAAATCATCTCCTGATTTTTGTTCCAAATACAAACATTTCTAAATACATTATTAGTTCTTCTAATTGGTTTATTGTGGTTTTTTTAAAAGCCGAATGAAGTATTGCTACACTGTAAATTTTCCACTTAAATTTACCTTAATCAAACTGATAGTTTTGATGAGATTATCAAATCTAAGGTTACAGTCATATAAAACAACCCTGAGAGATGTGATGTTTTTGACAACCATTTAAAAGCTTTTCTTTACAAAAGAAAGCAGAGATAGCCATAGGAGTCAGAGTAGGAGTTTGAGCCAGGGCAATGGCTTTAAGGATCTGTGATGATATATTATAAAAAATATGGGCATACATTTTTAATGGAAACCAGGCTTTCTTGTTATTTCTAGACATTTAACAATAAGAACTAAATGCCACTTGACCCTGGACCCATCTCAACATTTGACTTAACAGTCAGGGACAAATTAAATAGAAACATGAACTATTTGTGAATAGAAAGGATGTCTCTGCAATGTTTCAGAAAGATCTCTTTTTAATCACATCTGCACTATAGAGGAATTTTAAAATACGCTATGCCAAAAAAGATGCTCTCCCTATTTTATGCTAGGAGATATGGGTTATTAATTGTGTACCTCCTCCTTATTACTAATTTTTAATTTTTTTGAGAGGGAGAGAGTGCATGCCCACAGGTGGGGAAGGGACAGAAGGAGAGGGAAGGAGAGACTCTTAAGCAGGCTCCATGTTCAGTGCAAAGCCCAACGCAGGGCTCCATCTCACAACTGTGAGATCCTTACCTGAGCCGAAATCAAGAGTCGGTTGCCCAACCAACCGAGCCACCACATGCCCCCTCCTTATTAGTGTTAATAAGCTTTCATCTATGGATTTTTACCACTCTGGTAAAAGATAATAACTACAGAATTCAAGTGATCACACGGTGCTATATCATTATTTGATATTATGTGACACTCGATAGAGTCCAGGAGCAAGCACAACTCTGTTCTGACTGCCATGAACAAGCTGTGTTGGTAATACTGGATCAGTCTTTTAACCTATTTCCTCTATTACATACCTTTTTCCCCCCCCCCAGTGTAGAAAATATAGTGTTATATTGGTTTTGGGTGTACAATATAGTGATTCAACAATTCCTTACATTAGTCAGTGATCATCATGACAAGCATACTCTTAATTCCCTTCCCCTATTTCACCCATCCCCCCAAACCACTCGCCCTCTGGTAACCATCAGTTTGTTCTCTCTAGTTAAGAGTCTGTTTTTATGTTCATCTCTTTTTTCCTATGTTCATTTATTTTGTTTCTTAAATTCTACATATGAGTGAAATCATGTTGTCTTTCTCTGACTTATTTTGTTTAGCATTATGTTCTCTAGATCTATCTATGTTGTTACAAATGGCAAGATTTCATTCTTTTTATGGCTGAATAATATTCCATTGTATATATCTACCACATCTTTTTTTTTTTTTAATTCTTTTTAAAGCTCATTTATTTTTGGGAAAGAGAGATGGTACGACCTGGGGAGAGACAGAGAGAGAGGGAGGGATAGAATCCAAAGCAGGGTCCAGGCTTCAAGCTGTCAGCACAGAGCCTGACACAGGGTTCAAACTCACAAACTGCAAGATCATGATCTGAGCTGAAGTCGGTCGCTTAACTGACTGCGCCACCCAGGCGCCCCTACCACATCTTCTTTATCCATCCATCCATCTATCAATGGACATTTGGGTTGCTTCCATAATTTGGCTATTGTAAATAATGCTACAACAAACACAGGGATGTATATATCCTTTAGAATTAGTGTTTTCATATTCTTTGGGTAGATACCCAGTAGTACGATTACTGGATTGTAGGATAGTTCTATTTCTAATTTTTTGAGGAACATCTGCACTGTTTTCCAGTGCCTGCACCAGCCTGTAAGAGAGTTCCCACTAACAGTGCAAGAGAGTTCCTTTTTCTCTATTTCCTCACCACTGCTTGTAGTTTCTTGTGTTTTTGATGTTAGCCATTCTGACAGGTACAAGGTAATATATCTCATTGTGGTTTTGATTTGCTTTTCCCCCATAATGAGTGATGTGGAGCACTTTTCATGTGCCCGTTGGCCACCCAGATGTCTTGTTTGGAGAAGTGTCTGTTCATATCTTCTGTCCATTTTTTAATTGAATTATTTGTGTTTTTTCAGTGTTGTGTAAGTTCTTTATGTATTTTGGATACTAACCCTTTATTGGATAGTCATTTACAAATACCTTCTCCCATTTAGTAGGTTGACTTTTAGTTTTGTTGGTTATTTCCTTTGTTGTGCAGAGCTTTTTGTTTTGATGAGGTCCCAATAGTTTTTGTTTTTGTTTCCATTGCCTCAGGAGATATATCTAAAAAGGTGCTGTTATTGCCAATGTCAAGGAAATTACTGCCTGTGCTCTCTTCTAGGATTTTTATGGTTTCAGGTCTCACATTTAGATCCTTAATCTATTATGAATTTATTTTTGTGTATGGTATAAGAAAGTGGTCCAGTTTCATTCTTTTGCATGCAGCTGTCCAGTTTTCCCAGTACCGTTTGTTGAAGACACTCTTTTTCCCATTTCCCATTGCCTCCTTTGTCAAAGATTGACCATATAATCGTGGGTTTATTTCAGGTCTTTCTATTCTGTTCCACTGATCTGTGTCTGCTTTTGTCCCAGTAACATACTGTTTTGATTATATTACAGCTTCATAATATAATTTGAAATCTGGAATTGTGATACTTCCAGTTTTGTTTTTCTTTTTCAAGATTGCTTTAGCCATTCAGGGTCTTTGGTGGTTCCATACAAATTATAGTATTGTTTGTTCTAGTTCTGTGGAAAATGCTGTTGGTTCTTTATCTCTTAAATGAAGTTAATCACGGTCTCTTTGTACCCCCAAAATCGGAAGCAAGGATAAAACTTAAGGTAAAGAATATGAAAATTATTTTGAAAAGTTTAAAATGGGCTGCACAAAGTATGATTATAATACCTTGTATTACCTAAATGTTCTTAATAATTCTCCCCTTTTTAAGGTTGATTTTGAAAGAGTTTCTGAAATAGGATAGTATCGTTTAGCTTATAGAATGGTTCCTAGAAGTGGACTGCAAGGGAATCAGCTGAGTAGGAAGCTTTCTGAAATGAGCCAAGAGATTTAAGATGACTTAAGAGGGTAATTTTTAAATCTAGAGATTTTTGGCAGCTGCAGAAAAATTTGCTTCTGATCCCTAAGTGTCTGTTCCCTAAGTATTTCAAGCACACAACTGGAGAGACCTATAAAAGAGGCAACTGCTTTTTAAAGGAATAAAACCTGCATGGGGAAGATCAGAATAAGGAGAAAGACACCCTGTTATATTCTCTAGAAACCAAGTAGGGTGTTTGGTATTTAACTGTCAAAGCTCGCTCTAAAACTCTTTTGAGTAAGATCTTTTAAACAAAACAGGAGACACATTTGGAAAGACACATTTTATAACCACACAAATGAAAAAAAAAGGGGGGGGGCAGGTGTTAGACAAAGTGGGCTATAAAGGAGTACCAAGAAGCAGAAGGAACAGGTGGTGAAATCTTCAAGTACTCAGTGCAAAGTACTCAAAATATCCAAAATATTACCTAGGTCTTCAACTCTTAGGCATTTGCCATAGATAGGTGACTGGTCAAGAGAGCAAAATATGGCAGCTTTTCCTTTCTGTTTGGACTTAACTATGTGGTTCATATATGCACAATTCCTTTAAGAATTTTAAGTACAGTTTACTGCTTGTTATGCTCATGACCTTTCCAGCTGTTGTTGACTAATTTCATAAACTTTATTTTTAATCATGAAAATATTTATATAATTGCATGAGGGTGAAAAGAGATTATAAAAAATTGCCTCATTGCCTCACAGTTTCCTCTACTTAATAATCTAACACACACACACACACACATCACATCAAACATACTAACATGAGTACTGTCCCAATTTCTTTAATAAATTTTGATTTCATGAAGATTGAACTAAAAGGAGACTTTGAGATATTCCACAAAGTTCACTTTTTATTTCATAAATATGAAGTTAAAAATAGACAGGACTCTAAACAAATATTAAGAGACTATTATAAGTCATAATATTTTAAAAGGTTTATTATAGGCGCACCTAGGTGGCTCAGTCGTTTAAGTGTCTGACTTCGGCTCAGGTCATGATCTTGCAGTTTGCAAGTTTGAGCCCTGCATCGGGCTCACTACTGTCAGCATGGAACCTGCTTCGGACCTTTTATCCCTCTCTCTTTCTGCCCCTCCCCTGCTTGTGCTGTCTCTCTCAAAATAAATA